GAACAAAACGCAGCAGAATGAAATGGTTATACTGTCAAACTGTTATATTGTAATACAAAAAACCTATGTATTAATTCAGTATTATACGAACAAGGTTTAATATGCATTTGTAGCCTCCGTCTTTAAGTTTTTCATGCGCAGAAAAACGTAAATTTTAGATGCCGCACTCTCTATCTGTCACTGAGGTGATACCTTTTCAAAAGGTACTATAATGTACTATTTAGATACTAATATGTACAATTTAGGTACAAATATGTACCTTTAAGGTGCAAAAATGCACCTTTTAGGGGTAGATATAAGGTACAAAAATTTACCTTTTCAAAGGGTCCTGTTCCAGTGACAGCTTTTGTACCTTTTGTTTTTTTTTCTGAGAGTGTCAACATATTGATATTGAATTTGTGTGTGTGTTTATATAAACAAAATATGAATCTGAATATTTTACGAAACCGAACTTTACATACAACATGCATTTAAGAAAATTAATAAGGTCAATTTTGATTCAATGTTAACTAGATTTTTATTTTTTTTCTGAAGAAAATACACGGCGGTAATAGGCATTTTGGTTTACTACCTAGGGTATGAATAGTGCTTGCCTTTGCTATTATAATAGTGTAAGTTCAGGGTGGTTGCTAAGGTGTTCTTACTGCTTGTCAATGGGTTGCTGTGCAGAAAGTTCTGGGTGTTTGCTAGGAGGTTGCTTATTGGTCTAAGTCAAAAGAGCCAGTGTGATAAAGGTCCCTAGATATGGCTCAGGTCCCTTCTTCAATGTCAGTCTAGGATCTAGAAAATCTAGGATTTTTTTCATCTGCTAGGCAAAAATAATCCAATTGTTTATATTATTAATAGCACACATCTCCTCAACAAGCAGAATGATTTAAGGTATCGCTCATATCTGTAGCAAATGGTGCTGGATGTTATACACCAGAGTTTAATTCTAAGGGTTAGGAGTTTGTTCAAATCCCTAAATGAAAGTATGAGCAATATTTGTTGTAATGTTTGCCTTAGTAAACATCACTGATGAACAACTGTCCTACTGCAGTGAGAAAACCCAAGCATGAGAAAGGAAAGGATAGGTGCTCCTCACAAGATGAGTAATGCCTTCACCAGTCAGGGCAAGTGCTTATCAGATTCCCGCTCATTTCCAGGTGGAATATGCTTCTAAATGGGCTGCACTTAGGATGATTTAACAGACTGCTGTGTGGGGCTGACTAGATAATTAACTCCGAGTCTAGGAGCGAGGATGGAAAGAAGGCACAGGAACAACTGATTTGTGCAAAACCAAGTCTATGCGCATGTGCAACCTGCGTGAACAAAGTATGCACGGTTACAAAAATCAGGTGGTGTGTGTACAGTACGCGTGCACTATTCTGCGTCACTCGCACTGTACACGGACCCTGTATAACCGAAGTATAATTTAGCCTTAACCTTACCCTATCCCACCTCAATAGCAGCAAAATGTGTTGTGCAATTCAACATGAACACAATAGGTACACTGGGCATTAAACAATTCAATATTTTAAGTAAATGTTTTTTTTTTTTTTTTAAAGACACCTAATATAAAGTTGGACCAAATATTTTAGCATTATTTAATATAAAGTTGGACCAAATATTTAAGCATTATTTATTTATTCATTCATTCATTTTTAAGTACAATTTCAAAAACTAAAAAAAAAAAAAAAACGTGTCTTATGCATCCTGCACTGTAAAACATGGTCATCTTTTGTAATTGTTACCTGAAAGAGCCATTTCTGCCTGATTTAACCCATATAAATGAGTTTTGGTGGTAAAATTAATGTATTTAGGTTAATTCAGTGATGTTCATGGACTACATAATACATACATAGTTCGTAAACATACATAGTAACTGTTGGTTGCATAACTACATAATACATTCATAGTTCATAAACATACATAGTAACATGTAACATAATAGGCTATAAACAGTACTAATGGTATTAGTTAGATGTTTGTATGTTAGCCTATGTATTTTTATGCTATGATTCTCCCACGATTCTGAGAACAAACATTAGAGACAACCAAACAAAATATGTAATTTGAGTTTCTGACTAAATGTTTTATTTAATGTTATAAATTAGTCTATTTATAAATGTCTAAAATGTTATAAATTTGTGTATTTAAAAATATGTATTAATTTAAATGAATTCATTATGTAGCAAAAAAATCATTTGAAAAAAAATTAAAAAATGAAAACTTGTTTATTCCAGAGTTTTTGAACGAATCTCTTGAATGATTCAGACATCAAATACATTTAACAGTCACTGTTTGACACCTACTGGCATAATGTAACATATACAATCTATTATCATTAGTTCCAAAGGTTAATTACTCGTTTTGATCGAGGCTGCCGCAACATCAGTCTATATCCGGATTAAAAACTTTTCTCCAAATACTTTCGCTATTATTTAATGTTTGCAACATAGAAATGTAGCCTACTGTGTAAGTAGACTGTTTGTGTAGACTGTTTCAAACATAAAGCTTAGGCTACATGATGAGCGCTGGCTGCGCTGCTCTATCTGGATCAGCGGCTGCGCGAAAGCAGGTTTAAATATTATGTTGTTTTCAAAGGTTTGATAGACATAGCAGAATCACCGTCATTTAGGAATACGATCGCGTGTGTTTTAATCGAGATCGCGATCTTTTAATGATTAAACGTGCATACATATGAGCCTATAGCCTGTGTTTTTTTGTTTTTTTTACCGGGCGGCCCCCCCGATTCCGCGAATCATTGTGATGTTAATATTTTTTTTTTAACTTGAATAAAATCAGTTAAAACAGATGTTTCCATTTTAGGTTAGGAAAAATTCAAATTCAATAGAAGTCATGCTTAGCACTGGAATACTACAGGAAAGTTAGACATCTCTTAAGACCAAAAACCCAGTAAGACTATGCTGAACAAGCAGTCAGTCTTTGAAATCTATGGTAGTCCATTGATTTGCAATGCATCCTTATTGAACTGTATGTTAGCTCAACAACATGACCTCAGCCCATGTTCTTGATGCTAAACTCAACTACACAGCTGTGTTATTTAAATATGTCAGTCTTCCTGATCTGACATGACTGTTATCAGGTGCGTTATCAGTCCTGTGAACAATGGCTTTCTGAAAAAAACGCCACCATTGTTTTTACCCGAGGCATCGATGTTTCCTCAGCCTCCGTTTATCTCTTCATGTTGACCTTGCACAAAATTGTCCCTCTGCGGCGCAGATGACCAGAGATAACAGAAGGTCAGTATAATTGGATCAAACTGACAGCTAACGGGCGACTGACGCTTCCCGTAGCAGCAGGTTAAGCCGCGTCTCATGCAGACAGAGTCTGTTCATCGCCTCTCTCCTCCGCTGGCACGTTACACTCGATGACAGCCATCCATGTTAGATTTGCCGTTAGTAATTGGCTTTACAGAACATGATTGTGTGAACTTGCACAAAGACCCTTAGCATGAAATGTCTGGGGCATGACCCTTGCATCTTTGCAAGATTATAGTTTGCATGTACTCAGACTTGCATCACAAATAGCAAACGAACGAACAGATCTAACTTTTTCAAGCTCAACGATTATAGTCCTATGGCTCTATTCTAGTGAGCTGCCTTGCTGTCTACAGCCTAAATAGGAAGTTAGCTTCTAAGGAAGCATCTTAACCTCTTAACTTCATGTCATAAAATGTTACGGTATTCATACAGGTATGTATGTATATGCTTATATTTTGGTATGTTCCGTTAACCAGGTTTTTGAGCAGAGCTCAATGTTGTGTTGACTGTTTTTTATTATACAGAAGTTGAGCTATTTAAAGAGCACAGCAGTCATTTTAAATAGAAAATGTGATTGCACCAGCACTTGATGAATCTTGCTCATAGACGCATATGCAGGAAATGTTGTGTATGCCACTGTTAGTCTCTGAAAGTCAATAATTTCTGTTTCTATTTCAGAGATCTGACAGAGAATAAAAAAATCTCCTTGGTATCTGATTGCTTAACTCTTGAAAAGCCTGTGGATGCTTTTTTATTCCACTACTTCAGCACAAACAGAATTGGGTCACAAGGCTTAATTGTCGCCCAATCAACCTTTACTAATGTAATGTCACTTATATTTAGCTGGAGTAAATGGAAAATCTCAATGTGGGAGAGAGATAGCACAGAACGAGGGATCGGGGTGTGGAGATGATGGAATAGACTAGCTATTCTGCATTGGGCATCTAAATTAATCCCTTTTAAATTAATATTCTGGGTTAACTACTAGTTAAGTTATTTTGACAGCATGGCTGTCAATTACAACAAAATAATTTTCACTAATAAAAAATAAGTGTGACTCACAAAGTACTGTTCCAGGCCAAAACAAACAATATCTTGTGTACTTCGTGAGTGCGTTTCATTATTATTATTCAAAATTATTTTTTGTTTGTTCACACCAGGTTCAAACTAATTACTGAACACACCTGCATTTTTTTAATGCCAGAATATGAGGTACAATGATTAATATACGTACATATAGAAACATGTATATATACATTAAAAAACAAACAAACAAAATCTACAATGGTAACAATAGATAAATTATAAACTATTATTATTTATAAATGGTAAATTGCTGTACAATAGCTTCATTGTTACTAACGTGGAGGATTGTGCAGCAGAAAATAAAATAATTATGCATTGATAATTATGGTTGCCTTTGATATGAATATTCTATTTAAGAGTTTCTGGAATTTAAAAAGGGTGATTGGAATGAACATAAACGGCTCTAACATGTAGCCTATCACAAGCCTAACTTACTTACTTTTTACATTGAGGGAAAGAAAAAAAAAAAAGATTTTAACCATTTGTAAAATGAGATGGAGAGAACAGTATTTTTCCTTAATCTTATGCTAACCTGTCTCTGTCTCCTTGTTTCTCTATAGGTTGACCTGCCTTTCCTTCAATGTTTTTCTTTTATTTACCATAATTTGGACTAAAATGTATATGTGTGTTCTGTGTTGCTTGCCACAGGTTTAGCCCCTACGAATGGTATAACCCCCACCCGTGCAACCCTGACTCGGACGTGGTGGAAAACAATTTCACCCTGCTAAATAGTTTCTGGTTCGGAGTTGGAGCTCTCATGCAGCAAGGTAGACGCCTCTGCCTGCTCCCCTTAGCACACATCCCACTCTTTTGCTGGGGGTCCCAACTTGCTCTTGTCAGGCCAACTATGATGTATGGGTGCCTCTGTGCATGTAGTTCTAGAAGCAAATTGGTTGCTGGCCAATGGTATGAATGGGACTGTGTGAGACTTTTTGTTTTTTTTGGTGTTGGGTAGAGGATCAGGGGATTGTTTAATTGCATGCAAACCTTTTCCATAACCACCATTTCAGGTTCTCTTCAGGGTTTTTAGCAGGTAAGTCCAATTCCATATGCAAAAAATAAAATAAAATAAAATAAAAAATGGCAGAATGACACAAAGACAAATTGTTGGTCTTATGTCTTACTCTGCCATATGAATTCTTGACTTCTAACCCTAACCCTATCATACAGAAGTTGAGCTATTTAAAGAGCACAGCAGTCATTTTAAATAGAAAATGTGATTGCACCAGCACTTGATGAATCTTGCTCATAGACGCATATGCAGGAAATGTTGTGTATGCCACTGTTAGTCTCTGAAAGTCAATAATTTCTGTTTCTATTTCAGAGATCTGACAGAGAATAAAAAAATCTCCTTGGTATCTGATTGCTTAACTCTTGAAAAGCCTGTGGATGCTTTTTTATTCCACTACTTCAGCACAAACAGAATTGGGTCACAAGGCTTAATTGTCGCCCAATCAACCTTTACTAATGTAATGTCACTTATATTTAGCTGGAGTAAATGGAAAATCTCAATGTGGGAGAGAGATAGCACAGAACGAGGGATCGGGGTGTGGAGATGATGGAATAGACTAGCTATTCTGCATTGGGCATCTAAATTAATCCCTTTTAAATTAATATTCTGGGTTAACTACTAGTTAAGTTATTTTGACAGCATGGCTGTCAATTACAACAAAATAATTTTCACTAATAAAAAATAAGTGTGACTCACAAAGTACTGTTCCAGGCCAAAACAAACAATATCTTGTGTACTTCGTGAGTGCGTTTCATTATTATTATTCAAAATTATTTTTTGTTTGTTCACACCAGGTTCAAACTAATTACTGAACACACCTGCATTTTTTTAATGCCAGAATATGAGGTACAATGATTAATATACGTACATATAGAAACATGTATATATACATTAAAAAACAAACAAACAAAATCTACAATGGTAACAATAGATAAATTATAAACTATTATTATTTATAAATGGTAAATTGCTGTACAATAGCTTCATTGTTACTAACGTGGAGGATTGTGCAGCAGAAAATAAAATAATTATGCATTGATAATTATGGTTGCCTTTGATATGAATATTCTATTTAAGAGTTTCTGGAATTTAAAAAGGGTGATTGGAATGAACATAAACGGCTCTAACATGTAGCCTATCACAAGCCTAACTTACTTACTTTTTACATTGAGGGAAAGAAAAAAAAAAAAGATTTTAACCATTTGTAAAATGAGATGGAGAGAACAGTATTTTTCCTTAATCTTATGCTAACCTGTCTCTGTCTCCTTGTTTCTCTATAGGTTGACCTGCCTTTCCTTCAATGTTTTTCTTTTATTTACCATAATTTGGACTAAAATGTATATGTGTGTTCTGTGTTGCTTGCCACAGGTTTAGCCCCTACGAATGGTATAACCCCCACCCGTGCAACCCTGACTCGGACGTGGTGGAAAACAATTTCACCCTGCTAAATAGTTTCTGGTTCGGAGTTGGAGCTCTCATGCAGCAAGGTAGACGCCTCTGCCTGCTCCCCTTAGCACACATCCCACTCTTTTGCTGGGGGTCCCAACTTGCTCTTGTCAGGCCAACTATGATGTATGGGTGCCTCTGTGCATGTAGTTCTAGAAGCAAATTGGTTGCTGGCCAATGGTATGAATGGGACTGTGTGAGACTTTTTGTTTTTTTTGGTGTTGGGTAGAGGATCAGGGGATTGTTTAATTGCATGCAAACCTTTTCCATAACCACCATTTCAGGTTCTCTTCAGGGTTTTTAGCAGGTAAGTCCAATTCCATATGCAAAAAATAAAATAAAATAAAATAAAAAATGGCAGAATGACACAAAGACAAATTGTTGGTCTTATGTCTTACTCTGCCATATGAATTCTTGACTTCTAACCCTAACCCTATCAAAACCTGATGCCACATCTTCTCAGCCTCGGGATGCAGATGTTTGTGATGTAGAAAGGCCTATGATGATTGAAGGAGAATGTCATATGCAACCTGCATGCCTTTGTGTTGCATCAGAATAGTATAATAACATTTGGTTGAGTAATAAAAGACACCATACCCTTGTTTGCAAAGTAGCATGGGTAATGATTGAATCTGCACTGCATCTATCAAAAGGAATGGTTTAGAGTTGGGATTGGATTGCCATGTAGCATTAGACTCATTAGCATTGTGAGTCTTTGTGAAATCTACATTGTGGAAGAGATGTATTTGAGGACTGGCTGAAATCAGCGACCAGTTGTTTGCAATGTAGATAGCATGAGTATTTGTCTTCACACTGAATCTTAGAAGCTAAGAAACATTCCAGATATTTTTGCCTAGCTGGAGCGATTTGTCTGTTTAATTATTCTAATGAATCAAAAAGCATGCACGGACCATATGCAGTCAGCAACTAGAGCAGAGGTCTTCAGCCCTACTTCTGTAGACCCACTGTCCTGCAAAGTGTGTTTCTAACCTACTTCAACACACCTGTCTGGGATTCTCAAGCAGTCCTGAAAAATCTGGTTCTGGTGTGTTGATTAGGGTTGGAGCTAAACTCTATGGGACAGTGGTTCTCCAGGAGTAGGGATGCAGACCTCTGAACTAGAGGGACAAATGATGTTCAGCCACATAAGTAGGAGCAGCAGGTCTGTGATGTCCTTAGATGCTTGACTGCAAATGTGGGTTCATCAGTGTGTGTCTACCCTGCACCAAGAGGTGCAGGTAAACTACTGAACCCTACCATGCGATTGACACTGTGGATTGCAACTTTTTCCTATCAACAAGGAATCCTCAGTAAGCAGAGACCGTTAAAAGTCTGTGCTAGTGTGTTTGGATCATTGGAAAAAGGGAGGTATTATTGTCCAACGGCATCACCCAATAACAACATAATTGTATGGTGTCATTGGGACTGTCATTCGTTCAGGTTTCTCTTTGAGTTTAGAAGAGAAGATGTGGCATTAGGCTGAGGGCTAAACAGGCAGGGCTTGTGTGTGTTGACTGTCTGCATGTCTCATGATGAGTGGGTAACACTACATTGTAGAGAGGCTCCCCTGCCCATGGCTTGTCAGCCCCCAGAAAACTGTGGGACGGCGTGCTTGGACATGACGTTACCTTGGGTACATGACAGTCAGCCCCAACCAGGTTATATAAGGTCACCAAATGGTCCAGCAAGGTGATACTTTGAAATGACAGCATTCAACTTTTTTCTTGGGATGATTTTCTTATATATATATATATATATATATGTCCATTGTTTTGACATAATGGTATTTTTGCTTTTCCGCTGTTGGTTATGCTAAGTCATGTTTAAAGGTGAAGTGTGTAATATATGCGATTCTAGATTCTCACACACTCCTCCTGCCCCTTCTACCCTGTGCCTGACTACTTGTTTGGATAAACAGGCATTCCTGTCCAAAACTCACACCACTGATTGAGCCACATGTCTGAATACTTAAGCACCACAGTGTTTGCACTTAAAGTCGTCTCTGATGGGAAAGGAGAATGTCTTTTAGCACCGAAGAAAATATACACATCACTTTTAACAACTGAATTGCTAGAGTATATAAGGGAAGAGTAATTCTCTCTTTCTTCCCATTTCTGTGGTTTTTCGGGCTGTCTGGCAGCTAGAGTTATATATCCAAACGTTAGACTTGATTAACAGGACAGGCCTGACTGGAACTCACGATTGCAGTTCAATTGTAATTCATGTAACGGCTAATCTTTTCAATAGTCCATTGTGTTTTGCCATGGACTCAATATGCCAGATCAAAGCTTACAGCTGACTCATAGAACTTGAGAAGAGGAGCCAGTTATTTCCCTGCGCTCTTGCCCTCTGACATCTCCTCCTAGGACAACTAGTTATTTTCCAGACTTTTCCCCATCAATTAATTTCCTCTGCATGACCATGGTGACAACTTGATTAAGGAATAACAGAAAATTATACGTAGATTGTGACACAAAATGGTTCTTCATTCTGGCTTTTACCCACAAGCCAAATGGACTGAAGAGTGTAGGGCAGTTCAAAGACAGAAGCAAATCATGAGCCCTTTATGATTTAACACAAATCTGAGAGTCTGTAATCTAATTCAATTTGACCACATAAATTATCCTAAAATATGAATGAATTCCCACATTCACTTTGGTTGACTTTGGCGTATTCGGTTAGCATAGATGTGGTTTCCCAGTTGTCAGCAGGCAAAGCCTTCCCCTGCAACTAGTTGTTGTGTCCGAACTAGGTTGGGCCTGTGCGTCTGCTACTGGTCCTCACATTGAGACCACTGCTTTTCCCTGACTACTATCTCTGCTCCTCTCTGCTAGGATCTGAGCTCATGCCCAAAGCCCTTTCCACCAGGATAGTAGGAGGCATCTGGTGGTTTTTTACCTTAATCATCATCTCCTCCTACACGGCCAACCTAGCCGCCTTCCTTACCGTGGAGAGAATGGAATCTCCAATTGACTCGGCTGATGACCTGGCCAAGCAGACCAAGATTGAGTATGGAGTGGTGGAGGATGGCGCTACGATGACCTTCTTTAAGGTGAGTTGAAGCTGTCAATTGCAGCACATGTAATATCAAGTCCTACAGAGAACTTTTAAAAAGGCTCAATGAGGACCTTTGGCCATTGTGTTTCATGTCTCATGGACACTTTTGTCTAATTTCTTTGAACTTAAACCAGAATTTTATGGCAATGTATTTGTTTATAAGATAAACAGATGTGTAATTAGAGGGATAATGTACAGTCAGCCGGTCACTGTTGCAGAATGGACCACATCAGGATGATACATAACCAGATCACCCTGTCAGCTAACTGTACAATATCCTTTCCTAATTTGATTTGAATTAATTACATATTTAATTGATTACAGCTTTACTGAGTCACCAGGAAGGTCAATGACAGGGTGATATTTTTAATACTGTTTTGTGCAGTAAAGACATCTGGTGAAGAGACATTCAAATTTCTTGTGCCTTGGCATATTGAATTCTGGTGTCACATGCATTGTGTGAGTTTGAATCTGGATTGTGATGTTCCTGACATTTTCTGTTTTTTCGATGCACAAAAAAGGCAGTAGCGCCAAACACTCGTCCAAAAATCCAGTAGACAAAAACATATGGTGCGTAGATCCAAAATATACAAAGATACAAAGATGAAAGAGATCCGCACTCCTCCAAATGCAGCTAAAAAAGCTTATTCCATTTATTGTTCAGAGGTCACAAAAATATGTAGAAAGAAGTGCAAAAGTGCAAGTGCAGAACGTTTTCGGGTATTAACCCTTCCTCAGTGCCATGTGCTACCAAGCAACACCTGCGCCCATTAAAACATGTATTACCGTAATACCCCTAGTATCACGAAGATCTTTTAAACAAATACACATATATATCTCAAATCTATAACAAAATTACAGTAAATGCATTCATAAGTCATCCCAAATTCATATACAACTATATCAACAAAATATATAAACTGTTTTCTCTATGGAAACACTTGAATAAAAGCACCTGAATGTTTTCAGAAAATCTGTTTGCAAATAGACCCAGAAGAAGTAGGTTTTTAGTAATGAGTCATTTTAAGAAAGAAATGCACTGTATAAATGGAGAATGATAATACATATGAAAACACATATTTTGTGAAGGTATTTATTTTTTGGTATAATAGCGATGTCAGGGCAAAAGTGCTATCAGTGGTGTCCTATCAGAACGTCTTATCAGATTTTGAAATCTCAGCTTTAAAAGGGCGTCTGAAATATGCAATAAAAAGCAAAATGTTTGAGAATGAAGATTTTATACTTGACCTAATAATTGAGGTTGTGTTTCAGAGCTTTTATCGCTTTGGACTGCTGGAAGTGACAAAGGTTGAAAGCATTTTATGACCGCACACTGTTTAGTGCCTGTATGTGGGAGATCTACTCTACAATTCTTTATTCAGTCCCAGAGGGCTGTGAACATGTTCACTGCGACACTCAAATGCCTCTTATTAAGTCAATATTTTTGCTCTGAGATCACAGCATGGAGAGTGTCCCCTCAGTGTGGTTTTGATTGTCCAGCGTTTGTAACCAGTTCAGTGAAATCCTCAGCCACCTCTGTGCCAAAAGTGAAGTAAGCTCTTACAAAGGATGTTTTGGCTTTCCTATCCGCCTCTGCTAAATAAATATCCTTGTAAATTTTCAGAGGTATATTGAGCATATAATGATGTTCTGTAATTCATTGAATGCTACTATAATAGAAATGTAGATGTCATCATAATCTATATTAGTTTTGCATTGTTTATTTTACACTTTAGTCAGCAGAAGTCAAAATTGACCCTATTTGCTTCATTACACATTCCTTGCCTTATTGTGAACAATTCATCAGTGAAGTTTAGTCTAAAGAAAAAAAGTGTTTGTCTGTTCACTCATTTATCTTTTTTTTTTTTTCATGTATGCTTATAACTTGTTCAACCCATTTTGTTCAATCTCTTGAAAATGCCTTCATTGATCCAATCAATTCCCGAAGGACAAAATTTAACATTTTGTTTAACACTTAACATTTTTGTTTTCATATCCAGTTTCAATTTCATATAATTATAACACATTACGGAGGTAAAAAGTGTTGCTTTCACTATGGTAAACACACACAAACACACACACACACACACACACACACATAATGCGTAAATATTGAAAGAAAAAGACACCCTATTGTAGATAGCAAGACTAGGCCAGATTACTAGAGAGAGAGAGAGAGAGAGAGAAACAGGATGATTTCAAAGCATCCTGGCCCTGACAACGCCTGTAATCCATTGCAGTCAGATTTCCTACAGGAACAGCAGATGTTCAGAGAACTGAACACATGTGCTCTTTTAGCAGGTGCTGATGTATTGAGTGATTGAGTGGCAGTGTGAGTGATTGACGGTTTGATAAACTGCCTTTATTGATTCTGTATAATGCTCTACAGAGAGACAGTCACAGAGCTCAATAGTTTAAGACCAGATTACTAGAGAGAGAGAGAGAGAGAGAGAAACAGGATGCTTTCAAAGCATCCTGGCCCTGACAACGCCTGTAATCCATTGCAGTCAGATTTCCTACAGGAACAGCAGATGTTCAGAGAACTGAACACATGTGCTCTTTTAGCAGGTGCTGATGTATTGAGTGATTGAGTGGCAGTGTGAGTGATTGACGGTTTGATAAACTGCCTTTATTGATTCTGTATAATGCTCTACAGAGAGACAGTCACAGAGCTCAATAGTTTAAGAACACTACACTTTAAAGAACATACAATGAACCTATCTAATTTAATTACAGTAATTTAGAACCATATCTAACATAACCATATATAAACCCCTTGTGACTGAAATAGTTTTGTGTTTGGGGTTTTAGGTTCTTTACATCTCTACTTTCACAGCTGGCTTCTTCAGCGGCTATTGATTTGCTATTGTTACAAGCCAAATAACTGTAATCTACTGCTATATGATCTAGAACAGAGGGTCTCATTCGCTAGTCGTGCACACACTTACATTTGTGTGTGAAATCAAGTACAAACATTTTCACAAACAAACCATGTTTCATCAATAAAGTACTAAAATGTATTCTAAATCTACTAATATTGTAGGAACAACTGAATCCAAACGTATGCCAAAATCATATACATTGGATGGCCTTATAATCATGTTAAGATTAAATTTTATACATGCTCAAGGATCTTGCAGTGTGTGCTCTCAGGATGGCGCACATAGGCTATTGATTTGCTATTGTTACAAGCCAAATAACTGTAATCTACTGCTATATGATCTAGAACAGAGGGTCTCATTCGCTAGTCGTGCATACACTTACATTTGTGTGTGAAATCAAGTACAAACATTTTCACAAACAGACCATGTTTCATCAGTAAAGTACTAAAATGTAGTCTAAATCTACTAATATTGTAGGAACAACTGAAACCAAACGTATGCCAAAATCACATACATTGGATGGCCTTATAATCATGTTAAGATTAAGTTTTATACATGCTCAAGGATCTTGCAGTGTGTGCTCTCAGGATGGCGCACATATTTAGAGAGTGTCATATGTTTGCTGAAACATAGGATGTGGAGATGGTTTGGACCAGGGCTTAAACGATTTTGGAAAATAATCGAATTGCGATTTTTTTTACTAATATTGCGATTGCGCTTTAATATGCAATTAATTTTTAAAGCTCATTATGTTCTGTATTATTCAACAAAGACCAGCTATAAATCATTGTATAGAATGACCAACACAATATTAGATAGATTAAACATAAATGTTATTTTCTGTAGGCCAGGCCTATATGTTACGATGAAATTAGGTGATGCATGAATTGATATGAATGACATTTTTATTTAACAACTACAATCACAGTAGATTGACTGATTTGTTGAACTTCCAACCTTGTAAGCATGTAATAATTATGACAACATAAAGCACTGACAAATAAGCCTGGTGTAAACATTAATATGAAAGTCAGTAACAAATCACACAAACTAAAGTAGATTGCAGAAATATAAAAACAAATCTGTTGCTTTACCACACTACTTTAGGTAATTCAAAGTCAATGTAATAAACATATGTAAACATGTGGACTGCACTTTTTAAACACTCACTCTCTGTTAACTTTAGACCAGTGGATCTCAAACTTTTTTGGTCGCGCCCCCCTTTAAACCTATAAAAAAATATATTTTTATTTTTTGTGGGTTTCATGCTGTCCGCTAAGTCATAGGACAAACACAGGCTTTCCTCCTCACCAACGACATTAAACACCGTGTCTACACCGGACGCGAGCGGCAAAATACAGTAGTAGAACTCAACCCATTATAATCAGTGACGCTGTCTACACTGGATGCGGCGCGACAAGACACGACACGACACGACACGACAAAACCCGACATTAAACTGATGCCTTGTTCTATTTATGACGTACTGACACAAAGTTAAAATGATTTGCAATGGTCGCTTTGTCGCGTCCAGTGTACAGTAGAGCTGTTGCGGCGCGGCGTGAAAACTGTAGCGTCCGGTATAGACACGGTGAGTGAAGCCGAGAGCAAGATATGCCTCGTCATAGTTTCTGCATTTAGCTTTTGAATGACCAGCACCTGCCTGGGTCTGTGCGACTTCATCTATGGCTTTTCTCTTCCCTTTCACAAACCGATCCATCTCCCATTCTAAGTTGTGCCAGGGTTGCCAGGTTTTCACAACAAAACTGGCCAAATTGCTACTCAAAACTAGGCCAACCGCGTTTCGAGGGGGGTTCCACTTGTAAAAATCGCGTTCCAGGGGGTAAAATAAACGTTTTTTGGAGGGGTTCCCCAAATCGCGGACTTGACAACACTGTAGTGTGCCAACTTGATGCTTCCTCTGAAGACTGCTTAGATGTGTTCGACTTGAAGCAGCGCTGCTTAGACCTGTAGGGTTTTTCAACTCAAAAAGGGAAATATTTATGACGAAATATAACTGGTTATGATTCAGAATGCAAATGCAATTAATCGTTCAGCCCTAGTTTCGACATGTTTTATGCAAATTACTAATCTATGGGTATGTGGTCACTCA